GACAGAAGGTGAGGAGGACAGACAGAAGGTGAGGAGGGACAGACAGAAGGTGAGGAGGGACAGACAGAAGATGAGGAGGCTCTGCTGGGGGACAGACAGAAGATGAGAGGGACAGACAGAGGATGAGGAGGGAGGGACAGACAGAAGGTGAGGAGGGACAGACAGAAGATGAGGAGGACAGACAGAAGGTGAGGAGGGACAGACAGAAGATGAGGAGGGACAGACAGAAGGTGAGGAGGACAGACAGAAGGTGAGGAGGACAGACAGAAGGTGAGGAGGGACAGACAGAAGGTGAGGAGGGACAGACAGAAGGTGAGGAGGGACAGACAGAAGGTGAGGAGGGACAGACAGAAGATGAGGAGGACAGACAGAAGGTGAGGAGGGACAGACAGAAGGTGAGGAGGCCTGCTGGGGGACAGACAGAAGATGCTGGGGGACAGACAGAAGATGAAGAGGGACAGACAGAAGATGAGGGAAGGACAGAAGAGGGACAGACAGAGGATGAGGAGGGACAGACAGAAGATGAGGAGGGACAGACAGAAGGTGAGGAGGGACAGACAGAAGATGAGGGGACAGACAGAAGATGAGGAGGACAGACAGAAGGTGAGGAGGGACAGACAGAAGGTGAGGAGGGAAGACAGAACAGAAGGTGAGGAGGGACAGACAGAAGGTGAGGAGGACAGACAGAAGGTGAGGAGGGACAGACAGAAGGTGAGGAGGGACAGACAGAAGGTGAGGAGGGACAGACAGAGGATAGGGGACAGACAGAAGGTGAGGAGGGACAGACAGAAGATGAGGAGGGACAGACAGAAGGTGAGGAGGGACAGACAGAAGGTGAGGAGGACAGACAGAAGATGAGGAGGGACAGACAGAAGATGAGGAGGGACAGACAGAAGGTGAGGAGGACAGACAGAAGGTGAGGAGGGACAGACAGAAGATGAGGAGGACAGACAGAAGATGAGGATGGACAGACAGAAGGTGAGGAGGGACAGACAGAAGGTGAGGAGGGACAGACAGAAGATGAGGAGGACAGACAGAAGAGTGAGGATGGACAGACAGAAGGTGAGGAGGGACAGACAGAAGGTGAGGAGGGACAGACAGAAGGTGAGGAGGACAGACAGAAGATGAGGAGGGACAGACAGAAGGTGAGGAGGACAGACAGAAGGTGAGGAGGACAGACAGAAGGTGAGGAGGGACAGACAGAAGATGAGGAGGGACAGACAGAAGGTGAGGAGGGACAGACAGAAGGTGAGGAGGGACAGACAGAAGGTGAGGAGGACAGACAGAAGGTGAGGAGGGACAGACAGAAGGTGAGGAGGGACAGACAGAAGGTGAGGAGGGACAGACAGAAGGTGAGGAGGGACAGACAGAAGGTGAGGATGGACAGACAGAAGGTGAGGAGGGACAGACAGAAGGTGAGGAGGGACAGACAGAAGATGAGGAGGGACAGACAGAAGGTGAGGAGGACAGACAGAAGGTGAGGAGGGACAGACAGAAGGTGAGGAGGGACAGACAGAAGGTGAGGAGGGACAGACAGAAGGTGAGGAGGACAGACAGAAGGTGAGGAGGACAGACAGAAGATGAGGAGGGACAGACAGAAGGTGAGGAGGCTCTGAAGGTTTCTTATTGTGATGTTTGTTTCTGATGTGTAACTGAAGGCTCTCCTGTGGGAGCCACCAACAGACAGATAGAAACAGCTGTTTATACTACAGGCGATGTTCTAACTAACTGCTACTAGCTGCTGCTAACGGAGGTTGTGTGTGAATATTTATGTTACTGATGTTATATAATTTTGGCAGCTGCGGTCCTCCGTAGGAAAGATTCTCCACTGATGAAGGAACTGTGAATGTTTCTCTCTCTGCAGCTTTAAACAAAGGTTTCCTGAGGCGAGCTGACATAAAGACGTGGAGTGAATAATAAGATGGCGTCTCGTTGTTAAACACAGACTTTACAGTGTCTGTAATAGCAGAGCAGCTCAACCCTCCATCTCACTGCTGCAGCGCCGCACATCTAAAAGCAGACTGACACTCAGCCGGCGCGGTACGGGTTCGGTGGTTTGGTAAACGGCGAGCTGGAGAGGATGTGGAACCAAAAGTGATCACGGAGAGATGTGGTGACTGAGGTCGTCCTGAGTCCGGGAACTAAAGAGCCGCCACTCACCGTCTATGATCCTGTGTTAGAAGAACTAATGCTAAAGCTAAGCTATGTTGAGATTTAATACTTATTATATTTAATCAGGTTTAACTACATTAAAACCAGATGTTGCATCATCCTGGACGTCAGAGACAAACACTGAACGCTGTAAAATAACTGACAGTCATATTTAGAATAACGTTTCTATCTGTAATGATCCTATAGCTCCATGCTAATAACTAGCTCGCCGTTTACACATCAGCCATCAGCCAACACCAGACCCACAATGCAACACCAGACCCACAATGCAACACCAAGACACAGCCAGCGGGACAACCCCAGTTAGCTTAGCTACAGTTAGCTAGCTGGATGCCCCTCCCTCACATCACTCTTGGCTAGCAGAAAGCTATCGTTAGCTTTGTACTGTTAGCATCATTTATTGTTGGCTAACATCAACAACGTCTGTCAATTGATCCGTGTTAGCAACCAAGCTAACGTCAACACAATTACACAATATGTTCCACTAGCTTAGCATTAATGTTAGCTTGGCTTTGGACTCTGTGTGGTGGACTCTGTGTGGTGGACTCTGTGTTGTGGACTCTGTGTTGTGGACTCTGTGTTGTGGACTCTGTGTTGTGGACTCTGTGTGGTGGACTCTGTGTGGTGGACTCTGTGTGGTGGACTCTGTGTTGTGGACTCTGTGTTGTGGACTCTGTGTTGGACTCTGTGTTGTGGACTCTGTGTTGTGGACTCTGTGTGGTGGACTCTGTGTGGTGGACTCTGTGTGTGGACTCTGTGTGGTGGACTCTGTGTGGTGGACTCTGTGTGGTGGACTCTGTGTGGTGGACTCTGTGGTGGACTCTGTGGTGGACTCTGTGACTTTGGTGTGACTCTGTGTTGTGGACTCTGTGTTGTGGACTCTGTGTTGTGGACTCTGTGTTGTGGACTCTGTGTTGTGGACTCTGTGTTGTGGACTCTGTGGGGACTCGGGGACCGTGGTGGACTCTGTGTTGTGGACCGTGGGGACTCTGTGGGGACTCGTGGTGGACTCTGTTTGTGGACTCTGTGTTGTGGACTCTGTGTGGTGGACTCTGTGTGGTGGACTCTGTGTGGTGGACTCTGTGTGGTGGACTCTGTGGTGGACTCTGTGTGGTGGACTCTGTGGTGGACTCTGTGTTGGACTCTGTGGTGGACTCTGTGGTGGACTCTGTGTTGTGGACTCTGTGTTGGACTCTGTGTTGGACTCTGTGTTGCCCACTGTTGGCACTGTAGGGAGCATAAAGGTCACAACCTTTGACCCTCATCCTACATAGAGACACATAGAGATCAGTCCACAGACAGCAGAGGGACAAAGCTCCACTACAACCTGTTCACTGATCAATACACTGATCAATACACTGATCAATACACTGATCAATACACTGATCAATAATCTGATTATTATAGAAACATATGGCAGCTTTGATTCAACAGTCTCCTCTTTATGACCCATTAATGGTTCTGCTGCGGTACCGACCTGAAGAACCCGCTCCAGCTGGTCAGAACCAGGTGCCGAACCTTAACACAACTTCTCTCTTTGTCTATTTTTAAAAGCCTGACACATCTCACGCTCCAGGAAGTTAATCTGCCGTTGCCGTGGTTACCACAGCCACGGACTGGCCGGGTGCCAGGTTTGATTGGCCGACAGACAGGAAGCGCCAGGTATGACACCAGAGTGATGTCGCACTCTGTGTCGGTGGGAAGCATTCGTTTAATAAAAGGTGAAAATCAGATGTTTAAAATAACAGATGTTCTGATGGATCCATTCAGAGAGATTAACAGACGTGTTTCCCGCCCTCCTGGCCGCCTTTAGCCTTAAAGCACACATAATTAAAACCACACCCTCCTCACTAAGGCTGGAAGTTTTCTGAGTTAAAGCTCATAAAATTCTCTCTGCACATAAACATGCTGACAGCCACAGAAACTGCAGTTAAAAATATCTGCAGAAAAACTTCTCAACAATGCAGAAATCTTCTCTCGTCGTCTAATTAAACTGTGTGTTGGTTTTTATCGTCTCCAACGGGCTCCGTTATCACACAGTCGCCTAAAAACAGCTAAAAGTTTGTTCTCATAAAGACCAGAAACAGCTTAAATACATGGAGGGAAAACAAGGTCGCTCAGTGTCGCCGTCTTTACCCACCTACACACTGTGTGTGTGTGTGTGTGTGTGTGTGTGTGTGTGTGTGTGTGTGTGTGTGTGTGTGTGTGTGTGTGTGTGTCTGAGTGTGTGTGGTGTGTGTGTGTGTGTGTGTGTGTGTGTGAGTGAGTGTGTGTGTTCAGCTACACATCAGACGCTCTATAATTAAAATCATGTGTTGTCTCACAGTCTTGGGCGTAATGTCCACACACACACACACACACACACACACACACACACACACACACACACACACACACACACACACACACACAAACAAATGTCCCAACAAACAAAAGAATTCTCACTTTAAAAAAATGTCTTAACCATATAAAAGCTTTTGAAGTGGTGACTAACAGACAAAATGACCTCACACACACACACACTCACACACACACACACACACACACACACACACACACACATACAGTGGACATTAACTGTAAGCACATTATGACACTCTAGCGCCCCTGTGTGGCTGATCTGTGTCACTGCAGCAGGTTTCAGTCCTGATATTTGACTGCATCTATAAAACATTTTTAATAAAGTTTTGTAAAGACAGACTTCCAGGGTTTCCTCTCTTTAAGAAATCATTTCCAGGACATTTCCAGGACAGCACTAGCTCACAGTGGTGGTCAGCTCGCTCTCGAGTTAACCTGCTTTAAAGCGTCACAGCACGCCGTTCATCCCACCAACAGTGGAGATTCAAACCCAATACACACCCAGCTTTATGCAATCGGAATCAGGGGCTAAAATACAATCAAATTTCAGGACATTTGGTCATTTTCCAGGTGTTTCCATGACTAGAAAACTAGCCTCTACATTTCCAGGTTTTCCAGGATGGAAACTCTAATAATCTGTCCTAATCAGCTGCCTCCTTCCTGTCACTCTGCAGCTGCTAATAAACAATAAAAGACCAAAAATAATCGTAATAACTTTCACTCTGAGGACAGAGACTCAGTTCTTGCTGAATCCTCTGATACCTGATGAAAAGAGCTCCGACTGAGACTCACTCTGAGACTGTAAGTATGTACAGAACCAGCAGGACTGTGTGTGTTAACCTGACTCAGCTTTAAAGGGTCAGAAAAGAAAACCCAGATGAAGAGGAGCAGGAACCAGAACATTTGTACCTTCAGCTCTGACTCACCTGGGGCTGCTGTGGAGCGACGGGGCCGAGCTCGCCTTACGGAACCCGTCTTTGGGGACGGGGCGACGCCACGACTCCTTCTGCGACCGGGATCGAACCGGAGGTCCGGAGTCGTCTTTGGAGCCGCCTCGGAGCCCCGCCCCCGAGGCACTGAGGGTGATTTCGGAGCGGGACGTCTCCGAGGGGGCGGACGGGTCCGGGTGGGCCAACGGGGCAAAACTCAGCTCGATGATCTGCTTGGCGCTCTCGCAGATCTGACTCTGAACACACAAACACACAAACACACAAACGCATCAGTGTCACTGTCTCAGCTTTCACATGTTACCAGATAACGACTGAGGAAGATTATCTTGTTGTGTACCTGGATCTCCGGGGTGAGGGTGGGCAGGTCGAAGGTGAACACAGACGTGGATCCGGAGGTCAGAAGGTCGACGCTGTCCAGGCTGCTGTATGAGGTGCCTTTGGCCCGGTGAGACTCCATGATGCTTTCAAAATGGCGGCTAAAGGAGTCGAGGTTGCTGTCGGAGGGACGGCGAGGGCTGTCGATGGAGATCGGAGACTTGAGGCCGTCGTGTGTGTTTGACGACACCTCCAACGGCCTGAAAGGTCAATAAATGGATGATATTGATCAGTATACACTGTATCGTTATTGATTATTGATCAGTATACACTGTATCGTTATTGATTATTGATCAGAATACACTGTATCTTTATTGATGATATTGATCAGAATACACTGTATCTTTATGGATGATATTGATCAGTATACACTATTGATCAGAATACACTGTATCGTTATTGATTATTGATCAGAAAACACTGTATCTTTATGGATGATATTGATCAGTATACACTATTGATCAGAATACACTGTATCGTTATTGATTATTGATCTAGCTACTCTGCATTGGCTCCCTATAAAATGTAGAATTGAATTTAAAATCCTCCTCCTCACCTATAAAGCTCTTCATGGTCAGGCCCCTTCATATCTTAAAGAGCTCATAGTACCCTATTACCCCACTAGAACACTACGTTCTCTGAATGCTGGGCTACTTGTGGTTCCTATAGTCTCTAAAAGTAGAACAGGAGCCAGAGCCTTCAGTTACTAACTCTTCTCCTATGGAACCAGCTTCCAGTTGTGGTTCGGGAGGCAGACACCCTCACCACATTCAAGAGAGGCTTAAGACGTTCCTCTTTGATAAAGCTTATAGATTAGGGCTGGATCAGGTGAGTCCTGAACCATCCCTTAGTTATGCTGCTATAGGCCTAGACTATCGGGGATTTCCCATGGTGCACTGAGCTACTCTCTTCCTCTCTCTTGCTGCACTCATTCATGTCCCTTTAATGCATGTTACTAACTTCACTTCTTCCCCGGAGTTCTTGTGCTTTCTCATCTCGCAGGTTCTCATGGATCCTGGTGGAGCCTCCTGCCATGGTCCTGCTTGACTGCCATTGCCAATACTGTTGTTGCTGTGCACCTGTCTGTCTGTCTGTCGCTCTCTCTCTCTCTCTCTCTCTCTCTCTCTCTCTCTCTCTCTCTCTCACCCCAACTGGTCGAGACAGACGACCACCCACCGAGAGCCGGAGGATCTGTCCTAGGTTTCTGCCTTTTAACAGGCAGTTTTCCTTGCCCTTGTCTCCAAGGTCTTGCTCATGGTGGTACTGTTGGGTCTCTGTAATTAATGTTATGAATGAGTTCGGTCTAGACCTGCTCTATTTGAAAAGTGTACCTGAGATAACTTCTGTTATGAATTGGCGCTATACAATATAAAATTGAATTGAATTGAATCAGAATACACTGTATCTTTATGGATGATATTGATCAGAATACACTATTGATCAGTATACACTGTATCTTTATGGATGATATTGATCAGTATACACTATTGATCAGTATACACTGTATCTTTATGGATGATATTGATCCTGTATTGACAGTCAGACTGTGGACATATGACGGCCTTTAGCTCTTGTTTCTAGAGTTACGTGTTGTTACGAATTGTTAATATGTGATATTTCTTAAAGGGAGTTTGGTGCAGGGAGCTTTTTCACACTTGTCAACTTGGAGCAGTTGGAGTCTGATTAAGTTAGAAAGAAAGACTGTTGTTGGTAATTTACTTATTAAATTGTCATAATCAGTAAACACGTGTTAAGATTCAGGGTGACTTTGTGAGGATATCATTATATCTGATATACATTCAGAATAATCAATAAATCCATTTAGAAATCATAGCAGGAAGAAACAGAACTGGGTGAGAATCATCGTGTTTTTAGGTGTTCTTCAGTCATCAAAGTAAACGAGTGATAGTTGTCTGTACATGAATGGGACCACTGCTAACCGGGAGCTGCTAACAGGAGCTGCTAACAGCTGTGTGACTAAATGTAAAGAAATATAGCCAAAAACAACAATCACAGGCTGGAGTTGTAGGCCAGTGTGTAACAGCAGCATTATCATCTGTAGTTCCTTTAGTTTGACTTCAGTCGCCTCACCCCTTCAGCAGCAGACTGAACACCTCGTCCTCCTCCTTGGTGGCTCTCTGTCTCTGTCTATCTCCCAGCATCCGGACACTGGCCCAGCTCACCACTCCTTCCCCCTCCTCCTCCTCTTCATCCTCCTCTTCCTCCTGGTCCTCCTTCCCCCCACCTATTCGGGGTTTTGGGGAGGTGTCGGCGGGGCTGAAGCTGGAGTTTCCCAGGACGCTGCGGTTGCTCCCGAAGGCCGAATCCGCCTCCTCGGCCGCCTCGGCCTCCGCCCGCATCACCTGCAAGACAACAACCGACATTTATCAAACGTGAACATTGAGACGCTCCAGCTCCAGGTGAGATAGTGCAGGTGACGTCACCTCGTCCAGGTCGGTCTCCCGGTAGCACCGCAGCGGCACAGCGTCCAGATCCGTCTCAGAGTATTTGATGGTCTGGCGGATGATGCCGGTCTTGGGGGTGGAGCCTCGGGGGTCGTGGGTCACCAGTTCCACCTCGATCTGCCGCACCTCGTGATGCGGCAACTTCTGACCCTTGCTATCCCGCCCCCTCCTCTGATTGGTCGGTTTGAGATGGAGGGAGGAGGGAGGGGTGGGGCTGGGCGAGCTGCTGGTCGGAGGCGTCGTGGACAGAAAGTCTGCCAGAGAACCGAAAGCAGGTTAGAAAGCTACAGACCATCTCAACAGGGGTTCCACGAGGTTCTACAGGTGAACGTGTTCCATAGTTACGACCAATATCGGAAGAAACCACCAGCAGAGTGGAGACGCAGCGATCAATCGATTTCACTTTAAAACATCATGGCTTTGTAACCGTAAAGGCTCAACTACTTACAACCAGTATGTTTGAAGAGTGTTTGAAGATTAGTTTTAAGCTCTTAGTTCAGGATAAGACAGGAACTTGAAATGAGAAGGTGTACTTCTCTTCAACGAGGGAAACATTTGAAGAAGGTGTTCAGAAGTTTATTTTCTTTGTTAGAGCTGTTAGAGCGCGTTGCAGGTAGGTAACTTACTTGTCAATTAATTGATTAGTAAGTTGACAGAAAGAGTAGTAGACCAATAAACTATTTTTCTGGCAGCTTATTGGAGGTGATGGAAAAATATAAAAATGCTTTCTTAACGACGACGGGAGGTTAAAGAAAAATAATTACACTATTACTTATTGATTAAAATTCTGTCTGATAGCCTTTCAGGATTAATATATCCTTATCTGGTTTTTAAATAATCACATATCAGTCTTTAAAAATCAGCAACCAGCAATCAACATTACTCATTAGATAACCTTCGATTAGTTCTTTAGAAAAAGTCTCTTCACACAGATTTATAAGTTGGAAAAAGAGGCTAAATAAAGAACAGGAAGTGAGTAGTGGTGTGTAGTAATACTCATGAGTAGAGCCGCACACTGTAAGACCTGTTCTAGCTGATGTTAAGCTTCAACTAATTGGCTTAGACGAAGCTCCCGAAGCTGCTTGTTTACTTCACTGAGAGGAGAAACAATACAAAAGACAGAATGGCCCTTTAACCTGCAGGAAGGTGGAAGATGTCTTAATCGTCTGAACACCGTCTGAACACCGTCTGCTGCGACGGACAGTGTGTGAAACTGTAGGTTAGGATTCCTTCAGTGTTCATGGTTCAGGAGGTTTCTACTGGGAGCCCAGTTATCCACAGAGGTCTGAATAAACACTGAATAAAGCAGTTCCACCTTAAAAATCACTGCCTCACTGGACTGGACTTATTTTGAGGCTAAGTATCATCATCAAGTTTTAATTTAATTTTTTCTGGTAGAAATTAGCTTCCATACCAAACAGTAATAACACAAACAGTATTAGCCAATTATTATTATGATTAGTCCTTTCTCCCACGCTGTTGGACAGACAAAGGACGTCCTGGAGGGGCTGCGAGCCGAGCTGCTGCTAACGTTAGCTCAGCTTGTTTCTCTGATAAATTAAGATCCAGACGTCCGATGACTAAAATCCTTCATCCGGTTCAAATCTAGAGTTAAAAAGCACCAAGATCTAAACAGTGGATGGTAAAAATGTGGCTTCAGACTGGATCAACAGTCAATGTATGACAGCTTCTGGCAGACAACCACAACACTGACGCAGGCACAAAGGGGATACGACGCCATCGACAGTCGACCGTCAAGATATGACTGAATTTAATAATTGGGACTTTGTTTCTATTCTCCTTCAGCTCCAAATGTTTCTTTTTTCTATTTAAATTCTCTTTTATTAATCCCTGTTGGGAAATTCATTCTCTGCATCTGACCCATCATACGTACTTGGATCAGTGGGGAACCGGAACAACCGGAGGAAAATCAATAGAGTTTGAACCAGCCGGGATTCAAACCCAGGACCTTCTCGCTATGAGGCGACAGTGCCAACCACCGAGCCGCCGTATTGTATGTCAGTACCAAAATGTAAAAAATAAAGTAAAAACATGAGAACACATTTTACCTTTACTGCAGCGACTCTCCTTCGTCTGCCCTCCAAACAGGAACTCCCACTTGGCTTGGGCGATCTTCTGCGATCGCGAGGACGGAGTCGTCACTGAGCCGCCATCCGACTGCATGAGGAGGAAGAAGAAATTATCTACAGTATACAAAACTTACTTATTACTATTTATTGTATCTATTTTAGGGTATCAGAAAGAGTTATTCAGGAATGCAAGGTGACCAGACTGTAAACCGGTGCCTTAACAGCATTCAAAACTTCAGCATCATATCATCAACTATGATGCTAACGGCAGCTACATTAGCAGTTAGCTAACGGCAGCTACATTAGGAGAGTTGAGGCAGGGGCAAGAGCATTTTTCATTTCATGTGGACTTTATTAGTTCCAATTACTAATTTACCAAAAAAAAAAAAAAAAATCATTCACATTGAAGAGAAATAGTTTATGTTGCTGTAATGTTTTAATAAAATATTAGTTAGTTATTAGTCTCAGACACAGAAGTGCTGCTGAAGCTTCACAGGAGGTCTCTTTGCTAACAAGTTACTTGTTTTTTTTAAATATTTGTTACAATGATGAGGCGTTAGTATTTTACCGTCCAGTTCAACTTCTTGGAAAGACTGATTATAGAAACTGGCCATCAGAAAATACACTGAGGAACAGAAACTAACTCACTGGTGGAGAAGAACTTTCTGTTAGAGATTTATTGTTATTGAGGTAAATGTGACAATATGTAATGAGATAATGGGGAGACTCATCATTCAACTCTGCAGACCATCCAAAACATACACAAACACACTTAATCTGATTACTTCCTCACGCACACAGATCCTTTTACATACTACCAAGCCCTCATCACCCTCCCACCCAGCCGACCTGCATCCCTGAGCCGGTGTCTGCTGTATCGTGGCTGGACTGGCTCGAGGTTTCAGGGGACAGACTGTCGTTTCTATCCAGCTGGGAACTGTCTCCCATGCTGCCCGTTACACCACTGGAGCTTTGAGATGATGTCCCTGCACCTCCACTGTGATCTTGAATCTCCTCTCTCTGATCCTTGGACACGCTTGTAACTGGCATCTGGTAACCCTGCACTGACATCTTTATTTCTTTGTCTCCTCCGACCTTCTTGTGAAACTCCTCTTTGCTTGGAGTGTAAACTCTAGAGTCTGACTGTCTGTAATTTTCCTCACAGAGTTCGTCCCTATGCTGGATCGTTCCAGCCTCCCTCCACTCGTGGTGCCTGGAGGTCCAGCTCACGGGCAATGCTTCTGTGTTTTGGCTGGAGAGAAGTCTCTTAGAGAGTTCAGGGCTGTCCCTAGGTGATCTATCAAAGAGATGATCATACTGCCTTAGCTCCATGCCAGGTGATTTGCGGTCTCCAGTGTACTGTGGCGGCTGATAGCGGTGCAGGATAGACATCTCCTTAGTGTCTGATGAACCCTGTTGTTGCCGTGGATCCAAGACTGGTGATAGAGAGGTTGCTGCATGGTGCAACCTAGCTGGCAAGGCTGGGGATGCTGGTGAAGACAGGCCTTTCTGGGGTAAGAGAGGTGAGACACGTCCTGCTCTGGTTTGAGGTATTGCTTTGTCTGTTTTCCATACGTGGTTTTGCTTGTCGGCCTGAAAAGCCTCAGGGGAGCTTTGCCCATGAAGTGTGGCATAAGGTTGGGATTCTCTCAGGAACGACCCTCCTATCTTGGGACTCTCCGACCTCAGAGATTCAGCTTGAGAAGGTGTTGGAGAGGGAGATCGTCTGTCTGCAAAGATGCTTGACAGTTTGGCAGCCTCTACAGCTAACTTACAAGCGATTTCAGCATTTGAGGATGGGGAGACACTTCTCCTGCCATTGGTAGGGCTGGCTGCCTCACTGGCTCTGCTACTGCAGCGTGATGATTTGTATTGAGTCTTGCTGGATAAGTTGGAGTTATCATTAGCACTGATTTGTATACTATCCATAGCATTAGGACTGGTTTTGGTGATGTTAGCACTATAGTTAGCACTGTGTTGGGGGTTCCTACTAGGGTGGTAGCCAGTCCTGGAATGGTTGCTGGTGGGGAATATGCCATTTGGGATCTCATGCTGGATGTCTGTGGGTCTCCCCGCAGGTAAAGGTGGGTGGAATTTGCTGGACAACCTGGGGCTCTCGTCCCCCACCCATGGCCTCTGTTGGCTTTGGGGCAGGCCATGAGAACGAAGAGTTGAGGTTGGAGCCACTGAGTGGGAGGAATACCCAGTGTGGCCACACAGGTGGTCAGAGGCAGGACTTCTAGGAAGTCCATTCACTGAACCACGGCAGACTCCCCTGTCTAGCTCCAGAAGTTGGGCCTTGGATGGGAGGGTGCGGGTGCTGCGGGGCAGGACAGGTGACCCCGCCCAGGACCGGCAGCGAGGGTACTGATAGTGCCGTGGAAGGGTCGGGCTGCAATTCTCTGGGGTGTGACCAGTAAATCTGCGCCTGAGTTCTTGGGAACCAAACTCCTCCAAGGCCCTGTAGGTGGCATCTCTGGCAACTGTGTCCATGACAGCCCTCTGCATGTAAGGCGAGCCCTGTGGGGACTGATTGTGAGACGGGTAGGGATGAGGGTGAGGATCGCTATGTCCTGGCTGACCATTGTACCACACTGGATCACTCAACCTCTTCCGGAGATGAGCAGGCATCAGATGTCCCTCCATTCTGTTAAGGGGATTGTCCAACTCACTATGGCATGCAGACATACGGCGCCCCCCCATGCTGTGAACGTTAGCTTTCTCTATGTAGCCAAAGGTCACCACAGATGTCTTCCCCTCCTCATTCCCAATCCCTGGGATCTCATAGGACCTGCGGTTGCTGGTGGGTGTGGAGGGTACATTCAGCCTTCCAGAGGATCTGAAAGTTGGGGAGATAGGCACTCTTCCCCGGTAGGGATCCATGTCAGAGGAACGGGTGTGTCCAAGTGAGCCATGCTGGCCTGAACTGGTTGTTCCAGGCGCTAGGACTTGGAGTATTTGACCAAAACTGTCATACAACACATCCTTCTGGTGGATCTGGGTGGGTGACCCTGTAGCATCAGGGTTTTGGAGTTGGAAGCTAACTGAGTGCCTAGAGGAGGACTTTGAGGGGGATAAGCTGTGGCTTCCAACCCCAGTTCGGTGCTGAGAGACTGGAGAAAGGTCCGGACTGCGGTTGGGGCTGGAGCAGGTGGAGCTTCGCTGGGAGTGAGGGAGGACATCTGGGCACTGAAGCATCAGGTGACCGGTCCCATCATCTCTTCTTCCAGGCACCTTCCCTTCCTCCTCAGCAACAGACCTCACCTCAACGTACAGATGGAGGACTTTACCTGCCTGTGACATGTTGGCACCTAAATGTCCTTATTTTCCTTTTTCAGGGGACCTTCACTATTTGAGCGAAGAATCCCTTTGACCTCCTGGTACCCAGTAAAGTGCCAAACTCTTTGATGAGGGTCAGAAGAGGAACTGGACTACCAGGTCTGTCCTCCATCAGCTCATCATCACTTCAACCTGCATCAAGAAGAAGAGATAGAGACAAAGTTAATGTTACACAATTTAATATTCATAGTCTAGACTTGTTTGTTCTGAACCTAACTTTCTTCCAGATCTCACAACACCCGACACACAATCTTCCAATTATCAAAAACAAAACAAAGCAAGATAATTTACAGTACAGTGGAGTTGGAGAAAAGATTGCTGAAAAATCTTCAGGCACTCCTAAAGTCCTTCAGTGGGTTATTCTTTCTCCCCACAAACATACATTCAAACACAGACAGGTTTGTGTTGCAGGTCTTTACATGTGAAATAAAGAAACTGCTGTGGCTAATAAGGTACAGGTTGAGGGTAAAGGCTCTAAAACACGGTTAAACCCTTTTCCTTTGGGCCCAGTTAATCTTTTCAGTCAGTTGAAGAATCAGTAACTGTTAACATTAAAGGAAAGGAGTCCTACTAAAATGGTTCCAGATATTACCAGTAGTTATTCATAATACAATTTAAACAGGTCTCTTAAGACCTTATAAAGTGACAACAATAAATATCATTCTTTTGTTAGTGCAACTAAAGGTTTCTTTTCCCCACCCTACTAGCCATAAAGCCTGTGGCTGATGATCAAGTTTGACCCTTAACCCTTCAACAGTTTCCTATGTAGGTCAACAAGTGTCCTCAGACAAACGTGGTTCACTGCTACAATCAGAAACCAAAGACCTCTTATGTTTTATTAATCAGAGGCAGAAGGCAAGTCAAACACTATGCACTGCCACATTTGTAGTGTTAAAGCAGGGAAATAGGAGGGAATCTTTTAAGTTGAAGTCACTGAAGGTTCTTTAAGTGATCCTGTAAGGATGTTTGATTTGGGATGTTGTAGTAGTCCTTAAAGATGTCCTAGAGTGCTTTGAGATGTTCTAGGGGTCACTGAGTATTTTGATCATTTAGGAGGTTCTATGGGTCTTGACACTGTCACTGAGGATAATCTGGAGTACTTTAGAAGGTTCTGGTGGCCCATGGGGGAGTTCTATGGGTCCTTAAAGATGTTTTAGTTTTCTTTCAGGAGATTGTAGGGCGCTGTTGTTTGAACTCCTGTGGGAAACTTTGGATCAACATGTTAGACAATGTTCCTCTCCATCATAATCAAAACACCAACTGAATTAATTCTTTTTGAAAGAAAGCTGTTCATCGCTCCAGGAGATATCAGCTCAGTGAGCACTGAAGTTTCCTAAGACAGATTTTAAACTAACTAAGCATTAAATTAATGTCTAGTGAAAGGTCTGTGACTGTCTCAGCCTTTAAGAGTCCTCATAGTGTGTCCTTATCCTCTGAAAAGGTCAAAGGTAATTACAGGTCCATTCATGTCTTTGGGCATCCTCCAACATGGCGGCATCAGACGCCAATTGTCACATGTGAGTTTGATTTGTCTATTAATAGATGAGGAAAAGCAGCTTGGAGTTCAGGTGAGAACAGCCACAGTACGAGCTGTCTGAGGTAACACCGACACAAACACTTCATACACTCAAACGCTTTTTCTTCATTTTATATTTTGCTGAAGTAAAGGGTTGAAGTTAAACTTGAGTTTTAAATTATAATGTTCTCCATTTACTGTGTTCTACTTTATACTTGTTCTGCTCTTTGTTGTATGTTGTCTGCCTACAGTTTCTATGGTTGTTTCACTGTTTATTCTTATTCTTATTACTATCTTTTCCTTTGTGGTAAATCTGCAGCTGTCTTCTTCAGACGGAGGTCAGCGGTTTAGATCATGAGGAGAGTGTGAAGTCACATGAAAACACCCGAGGAAATCCAACACACACACACAGTTAATGAGTTAGGGTGTTGAAGATAAGATAGGGTCCAGGGGCCATATTACATAAAACTTGCAGATGTTTGGTAACCATGGTAATGAAAGTAATGAAAGCCATTACAGATGAACAGTTCCTAAGTCAGTGTTCCTACATTCTCACTTAAGAAGTGTATTACACAAGCATCCTGACTTCCCAAAACTTGAACAAACTCTCCCACCGTAGCTGTCCTAACTCTCACTTTTCTACCAGGTGTTAGCCGACTTGTTTAATGGTATGGCTGCTTTTTAGTTGCTTTAACACAACGACTGCAACCTGCTCCCTCTGTAGATGAAACGTCTCATTCTAAAAAGGTATATTCAGGAGATTATACACTAATGAAAACATACCTATGAGTATAATATTTCTGACAATAGATCCTCCTCACAGTGTTACACTCTGGACCTTCAAGTACAGTTTTGAGAAACATATCCACTACTTGAGTATTTCTATTTAAGCTACTTTATACTTTTACTCCACATCTTTAGTTACTTTGCAGATTTAGATTATGAATACAAATAGTTTATAAAGTCATTAAAATGAGCTCCACCTTCACCAGCAGCCACATTAAAGCAATGAACACATGAATGCATCAATAATCATAATCCAGTAATATACCTGATTCTGAACTGGGCCATTCTGCACAATGAGTGCTTTTTAATTTTGATGATGATATTTGATTGATTTATTTTGAATGCAGGACTTTACTTCTGTTTACATCTGTCAATCATTTTCTCAATTAATCAATTAGATGATTGGTCCATAATTTGAAGATTGTCTGCAGACATTTTTTGTTTAATCGGCCTCGCGAGTGCAGACGGCGGCCGATGCAGATTATCAGAAATGGATTCAAAACAATTGTTGAAAGAGTTGGTGATTAATTTGATAGTTGCCAAGTGATCGATTAATAGACTATTTTTTCACTGTAGTATATCTACAGTGCTTCTGATAATGTGTTTCTACATAAATATTGTTTTACTGTAAATCACATTGTGACGTTGCTTTAAAAGTCCTTCAATAAAATACATTTAAAGAGTGAACTGTAAACTGAGAACAGAGAGCTTCAGTCATTCACATCGATGATTATATAGAGGAAGAACAGAAACATTAAAAAAACAAAATATCACAGGTTTGATCCCCACAGACACTGAACTGCCCTCTGTCTGAATAATAATACCCCAGATGTAAATTCAAGGGCAATTTCAAGGACAGTACAGATTCCACTGTAATGAGAGAGTGTGTGTGTGTGTGTGTGTGTGTGTGTGTGTGTGTGTGTGAAGCTAATTAAATCCCAGCAGTGCTTCAGTCACATGAACAGCAGCTCTGCAACATCATAACTTCATACCATTGCTTATTATTTCTCTGTTCGGGTGTTAAACGAAACCCGATCAGAGTCACATTTCATCTGTCCCAGATTCTTAATATTAATGACATCAATATTTCTCAAATGTGTGTTTTTATTTAGAAGAAACATTTGTGTAAAAGGAATATTCACGAGCAGGTCAAGACCAAGCAAAGCAAATTCACAGGTCTGTTCTTACTCAACTCGTCAACCCTCACATCTTCATCCTCTTAAATTTATCACGTCAGGTCTGTTTTAGGGGAACCAAATTATGGATTATGTAGTGCTGCTAACAGTGGACAGTCAATCTGTTCAGAGTCTCAGTGACACTTTCCATCAGTCTGACAGTCTCAGAGAAAACCAAACCAACTTTAAACTGCGTTCAGGAGCTGCTCCTCGTCCCCGGGACCAAAGTATCAGAGGATTGTTGCAACACAGACCTTTTCTCTTGTAACACAGGAAGTCTCCTACCGCTATTAGCTAGTTAGCGGTGCTATTAGCTGTCTGTACCCGGACTGGGAGCTGGAAGGACAGGGGGAGTTTAAACACTGCTAGTGTAGCAGCAGAGAGACCTAGCAGGGAATACTGACGGGGAGCAGGTCCCGAATGAGCCACAGAACCGGAGCAGGGGGGAACGGACGGAGGCCGGCTGATGTCCAGCGGCTCCGACCAGGACTCTGACTCTGGGGATGAAGAGCCGGCGGGTTCAGGCAGCGACAGGGAGAGGAAAGAAAAGAGGAGCCAGATGTAGCCAGTTAATAAGACAGTAACTGTTAACGTTATCCATCATCCATCGTATCGATCAGTCTGATCAGTTTCAGTGAAGTTGGAAGTTATTGAACAACCAGACTCTGATGTTACACTGTGTTCCTGCCTGTTCTGATTCACAATCATTACTGCTGTTTCTGTTTAACAGGTTCTAATCAATACAGTAATATCAGAAACGTTCAACGACTAGTGGACGAGGACCGTCTTCAGGGGCAGCAGTAAGAGACTTCCTGTGTTACGAGAGAAAAGGTCCGTGTTGCAACAATCCTTACCTTCCTGTGTGGATCAGATTTCTGACAGCAGGATTTACTGGGACACAAACACTTCCTGTTCACACCGAGAACAACACTGACGGTTCGTAGTGAAACTTCCAGTCGGCAGGTCGGACACGCTGCCTTGCTCACAGGCACTGCCGGTTGTTACCTGGTCTCAGTTCAAACTGATCTGCAGCCTGCTGAACCAAACAACTCTTAGAACCTAGAACCTTCTCTAGGGATGTCCAGGGGTGTCTGGAAATGTAGGAAATGAGTAAAAGGAAGAGGAGTAAATGAAACTACTTTTACACTGAAAGTCAAAACACTTATAAACTGCAGCCAATCAGAGGATGTGTTCATGTGACATCAACGTACTGACGTTCTTTTATATTGTTGTCTTTTGATTCAATGTTGGATTATTGTTGATTAATACTCACTGATTATAATAATATTATATTAATATTATTATAATATTATAATATTAATATAATAATAATCACCGACTTCATCAGTAGACGTTTTGCCATTTTTTTTTTTTTTTTTTTTTTTTTTTTTTTTTTTTTTTTTTTTAATATTTTTTTTTTTTTTCCTTTTGCAGTTTATCTTCAATCAAAGGATTTAGCTCTTATATAATTCTTTATTTCCTTTTTTTTAAATAGTGTTGGTATTATTTTGTTTCTCTTCTTTCTCTTTCACATCCAGTCTTTTCTGTTTTCTTTTAGTTGATTTAACAAATATATTTCAGTTTCCTTTCATTTGTGCATCTTTGTTCAATATTCAACTTTTAAGAATCATTCAAATAAAACAAGTAAACAAATAATTATTCAAAGTAAATTGAAAGTAATTAATGACGTTGTTGTTTAGCCCTTTATCTGTTAATTAAACTGATCACAGACGGCCAGAATCCATTTGGTTCCAGCTCTACTGTGAGACACCAGACTCCATTAACCAATCCAGTGATTTTAATCTGTGAGCAGGTTATTCTGAGGCTGCAAGGAATAAAAGGTATAAAAGCTAACCTGCTGATACTCCCAACAGCGTATACACACCCAGGGTTACATAATCCCAGTGATAATGAGTGAATATTCAACAACAACAGAGATTATTTACATATATATTCGGTTGTTTTCATCAATTTCCAGGTTTTCCAGGACGTGAGGGAACTCTCACATCCAAACACATACAGCTTATTAATGATCAAGAGGAGGACAGACACAGGACAGTGGGGACCCTGAGAGGACAGACACAGGACCGTGGGGACCCTGAGAGGACAGACACAGGACCGTGGGGACCCTGAGAGGACAGACACTGATGGTTTCAGCTCTGATGGATCCTGGTTAGAAGCAGACAGAACGCGTTGGTGTAATCAGACGTTGAACTCTGCTCTCAGTTTACAGTCGCAGCCACGTAACTGAATTATTAGTGAAGCTGCAGACGGACTCTCTGCACCTGATTCAACTCTGAACTAACTTTATTTACAAGCTGAGAGGAGCAGCAGCTGATTCACTCTGCAGGTAGAGAGAGTGTGTGTCACACTGATAACACCACTGTTAGCCCTACTTTTCCTGGACTCTGCTAATAGGATTCCCCCCTCACCCTCCTCCCCCTCCTCCCAGCATGCACTGCTCAATCCACCAACACACACACACACACAAACACACTTATAAAACCACACGGGGCACACACATGTGCCGACACACACATAGCAGCTGTAACCTTACCTGTGTGTCTTCACCGCTGCAGCGACGTCCCTTGTGTTGCCGTGGTAACCTCCTTTCCCGCTCCCTCTCTCTCTCTCCGTCGTCCCGTCACTCCCTCTCTCTGTTATAGAGTAACCTCGTTTTATCCTCCCTCGCCCTCTCCCCGTCTCTCTCTCTCGACACTTGTTGTCCGCAGCAGAGCCGGCTCATCGTGGATTTACAGGCTCGACTCAGCTTCCTCCTCCTCCTCCCCCTCCTCCTCCTCCTCCGGCTCCTCCTCTTCCTCCTCCTCACCCCTCCTCTTCCTCATCCTCACCCCTCCTCCTCCGCTTTCGATCTCTATCAATCAGCTGACGTCCCCGCCTTCTTCTAGGCAGCCCGCCAGCCAATCCCGTCCTCCGCTGGCATCAGAGGCTCCTGCAGCCAATGATGAGCAGCTCTGACAGATGGCAGCACAGAGCTTATTGGTGGGGGGGGTGGGGGTGTATATGGGGGAAGAGGGGGGTTGTAAATGAGGGGTTGGGCAGGTCAGAGGTTGAGCTGACCGGGTTAGACCTGTCTAATATCGGGTCACTGGAGCAGGATTACAGTACAGATACAGACTGAACAATACTCTGTTGACGACGCCCACAACAGTGATGTCACAATGCACTATAGTACAGTTGTAGGTCAGTGTGTCTGTGGTTAGTTCACTGTCTGTAATAACAGTGGGACAATGTCTGTGGTTAGTTCACTGTCTGTAATAACAGTGGGACAGTGTCTGTGATGAGTTCACTGTCTGTAATAACAGTGGGACAGTGTCTGTGGTTAGTTCACTGTCTGTAATAACAGTGGGACAGTGTCTGTGATGAGTTCACTGTCTGTAATAACAGTGGGACAGTGTCTGTGGTTAGTTCACTGTCTGTAATAACAGTGGGACAATGTCTGTGGTTAGTTCACTGTCTGTAATAACAGTGGGACACTGTCTGTGGTGAGTTCACTGACCCCTGCAGGTGAAGGTTGATATTTCCATTCGTTCCTCTGATGGATGGAAATCGGTCCGATAAATCGTCGGGTTTATCGTCCTCGCAGTTGTTAGAGTTGCTTCAGTCCGAGTGCTGAAAGTTTGTATCCGCCCTCGTTTGTGGGTCTACTGTCACTAATGAACCTACAGTATTATGGTGGTCTCCAACTGAATACCCTTCACAGCCGTTCACAACAACAACAATAACTATAAATATATGTTTATAAAAGTCAGAGCAGATCAATTATTGGCCGATATTAATGGGACATTTATATTATTATAAATGGAACTGACTACCAAATCACAGCCCATAATAATAATAATAATAATAATAATAATAAAATAATAATAAACAATCCGATTTATGTTGCATGAAAACCAAAGTCTGTTTGATGTTGTTGTTGTTGTTTACAATAGTGATGTCAGTTAGCTATCGAACATTAAATCATCCATATCGCAGCACGCATAAACTAATATCATATATAACAATGTGAAATGTATCTGAAAAATCTACTATCAGCAGAAATGATTGTTCATCGGTCATATGAAGTCCAAAAATGTCTGTGTGGTCCTTTACCACACACACACACACACACACACACACACACACACACACACTGTAACACAGACACACACACACACTGTAACACACACACACACAGACACACACAGACACTGTAACACAAACACACACACACAACACACAAAAAAAAAAAAACAGACACACACTGTAACACGCACACACACACACACACAGACACACACACTGTAACACACACACACACACACACACACACACACACACACACACACACTGTAACACACACACACACACACACACACACACACACACACACACACACCCAGAGGAATTACAGTCTTCAGTCACACTGTGCAGAATATTTACAGCTGAACAACAAACATCAGACAGTCTGCATGCTGAAGCAAGCGCCTCTCACACATCCATACGGGCTGTGTGTGTGTGTGTGTGTGTGTGTGTGTTACAGTGTGTGTGTGTGTGTGTGTGTGTGTGTGTGTGTGTGTGTTGCACTACCTCAGTTACTGGAGGCGGAGTCACACAGGATGGCTGAGAGGACAGAAGAAGATGAGATCAAACTGCAGCACAAACACACACACACACACACACACACACACACACACACACACACACACACACACACACACACACACACACACACACACACACACACACAGCGATGTTATCGTAGGTGCAATGTGACAGTGAGAGTAAAACTGTAGTAAAGTCTTCTTAATCTGCACAACAGCTCATGTGATCGTTTGAACCACATAAACATTTATGCATCAGTTCAGTTCATAAATAAATAAATAAATCCTCCTGCTTCATGATTCAGAGTCGCCATGACAGTAAAATGTGTTTGTGAACAGATTTGAGGAGAGAAATAGTCAAAAACAGAATCTGGATCCATATCTGATCAGCACTGTTTCACAGTTTGTTCTGAGTTTGGTGCATTGAGCTGGACGGACTCACTGAGAATGAGCTGTCAATCACAAGGTAGCCCCGCCCTAAAGCATACCCTGCTTTATGGTCTGTTTGGTCTAGAGACCAGAAACTCATAATATAATGAAGTAAGTGAAGAGTCGACTCATTTCTCCATAAGACTGAATGGTATCAGTGTGTTATTGCAACCAGTGGAGCTGGACTTGTTACTGAGTTTCGGTCATTAGGTTACGACTCAGATTGCTGATATTGAAACGTACAGCAGAAACACTCAGGAGACAACAGACTGCTCTTTAGGACTGAAGCTGGACGAAGAAGGAGGAACACTTTGATACGGCCCTCAGAGTTCATGTCTTCGTCTTCACAACTGTTTTTGGGTGAAGGAAAGTAATCCCGCTCCCGAGAGAACGCGCCGCTCCGTGACCCTGCAGCCCAACCGGCGACCCCGGCTGATGATCCACCGCTACTGAAAGAGGAGATCCCTCGTTACGCCCGCTCCCAAACCCAACTGTGTTATCACGACTCCACCTAGGCCCGGACCCGTCTGCTGATCCGGCCCAACAATGTGAGGAGTCTGGAGGCTTCAAATCGAGCCCAGCGTGAGCTCACAACGCCGACACTCCGTCACAGAGGTGATACAAGCTACGATGGAGTCCACGAGGAGTCAACGAGGAGTCCACGAGGAGTCCGCGAGGAGTCAATCAGGAGTCAACGAGGAGTCCGCGAGGAGTCAACGAGGAGTCCGCGAGGAGTCCGCGAGGAGTCCGCGAGGAGTCACGTCAATCGAGTAGAGGGCCGCGAGGCAGCAGGAGTCAGCGAGGAGTCCGCGAGGAGTCAGCGAGGAGTCCGCGAGGAGTCCGCGAGGAGTCAACGAGGAGTCCGCGAGGAGTCAACGAGGAGTCAACGCGAGGAGTCCGCGAGGAGTCCGGAGGAGTCCGAGGAGTCAATCAGGAGTCAACGAGGAGTCCGCGAGGAGTCCACGATTTCAAAGTATCCCAATCTTTACACCCAGATCATTTTTTAGGCTAACCGATACACATCATCTTGTTTATCCGCTAGAATCAGTAAAGCCTCTGATGGCTTTACTGCTCCCTAACTTTCAGATTTGTTACTGGTCTTCTTCATTTGTTTCAGGGTCACTACGAGCTTCCTGCTTGGATTAGAAACATCTTCATCATCTACCTGCCTCTCAGCTCTTCTGTCCTCATCTCTTCCTCCAGCCTCTGCCTGCATAAAGCTGAAGTCAGTTGAGGAGACCTTCTGGTCTACAACCCGTCTCCATCCTCTCACCTCTAGTCAGAAATCCCTGTGCCTTTTAATCTTCTTAGAGGTTAATATTATGAAAAGGTGTTATCTCCTGTATGGTTTCATTCAGTCTCTTGCTCCCGTTTTGTCCTATAAACAACAACAGGAAGTTGACCTCGACAATAGATTGTCTCCTAAAGATCTATACTTCTGTTTGTGCTCGTCACCTTTATTCAATCAGAGCTTATTTACAGAGTTTAAGTCTTACTGGATGCTGATTCATATCCTCTTATCCTCAAACAATCCTGGTGTTCATTACATTCAATGTATTTTTGTATTCATAATGGAAAATCAATAAAGAGATTTGTCAATAAATAACTCATTATGTCAGCAGTCGTATCGGCAATCGCTGCTTTCTCTAAAACTTTAATTAAACAAACACAATTCCTCCTGTTTGATTGATTAAATCTACAGCAAGAAGCTGTCTTAGGAACTAAATGAATCTTTGAAACATTAACTGTTTTTAAAGCTTCAGTAGGAACCAAAGAGCCACAGACAGGAAGTCAGACAGTATTTAAAGATGCATTCACATATTGTTGCATTCTGGGAACTGAATATTGTTTAGATCTACATTCTGAAAATATTATCAATAATTCTTTATCATCATCAACAAACAATAATCTGTGAACATTTGGTCAAATATTATTTAAATAATAAATTATTCATAAAGAATCAAAATTAGGTTACAAATAAAAGAAAAATACATTTTCAATCAACTTAACAAATATTTCCTTGATATAATTATTGTTTTGTTAACAGTCCAAAAATCAATAATCACTTTAAAATGATAAATTAAATGTGTGCAATATTTTTAATAATTCCAGTTTGTCTGACTCAAGTTGAATTTATATTATTATTAAAACATATCACCTTATATCACCTTTTAAATGCTGTACAGTTTATTAATCAGTTTATTAATCAGCATTGGCCCAATTATGCATCCAAATAATTCTCAACAATCCACCTAAATGTAAATTTTTGCTGTTTGTCACATAAAAATACAATTAAAATTAAAGCTGCAAGCAGCGTTGAGCGGGACCTCGCACTCCACGCAACTCGGGGCGTGCCGTCGTAACACGTGCGAACCACAACACTATGGCCAACTTTGAGGGCACGCCACGGACACGCCCTTCAACGTACATGCACAAATAGCACAACTTTTAATTAGGACTCACAAATTTTGAAGCAGGTCCGATAAATTCCCCAGGAGGAGTTCATTCAAATACAACACGAAAACTTTGCTGAAAGTGAAAATCAAAATCAAAATGGCTGACTTCCTGTGGGGTTTCGGGTATGGGTCCAAGAGGCTTTTTTGTACGTCCCGGCATGTTTCACGTGCCTACCGAGTTTCGTACATATCGGTGAAACGTGCCGCCGGGGCTGCTGTCTTTTTATCCTGTAGGGGGCGCTACAAACACGACAAACATGATTTTTGGTATGTGAGCTTCAG